CGGCCTGGAAGCAGAATTTGCCCTGCTCCTGTGTGCAGGCCTGCCGACACTGAGCAGCGGGCTTCCAGCCTCTCCCTCCCCGGACACTGGAGCCCCCTCGGCTGCGTGTCTACTTCTACATCCGTATGGCCTCGCTCAGGAAGGGCAAGTTTAATAATAGTCTGGGAGTCTCAGGTAACCAAGGACTCACCTCCCTTTTCGGACGAGCAGCCCTGATGAGAACTTGAGTCTCAGGAGGAATTCCATTCCCTTCCACTTACTTCCTCCCGCGATGCCAGCTGTAGCGGGCTCAGCCTCTGAGCACGGGCAGAAGGCTCTCTCCGGCCAGAGCTGACCTGGAGAGGAGTCTCTGGGCACTAGAACTTGACCGGTGGGGCAGCACAGCTCAGGGGTAAAGAGCAAGACCCCAGAGACAGGCTACTTAGATTCAAATCCTGGCCACACCAGGATTAGCTGTGTGACCTTGGACAGGATGCTTAACTTCTCTGTGACTCATGACCTCATCTGTGCAGAAGAGACAGTAAAAGTCCCTGCCTCCGGAGATTATTGAGAGAAGCCAATGGATTAGTTTACGCAGAGCTTAAAACATAGGAAGGGTTTTTGAAAGGTAACTTATTTTGTTCTGAGAGGAAGTTCAGGGACGTCGCATGGGTTAGCCTGCCGGGATGTGGACCAGGGATCCAGCGAAATGCGTGCACCCCCTCCTCTGCTCACTGCTGGCATTCACAATTTTCTCATGGGTAAAATTAGATTAAAATGAAGCTCAAGATGAGGTGGGGGCCAAGACACAAGTGGGCAGGCCTGGTGGGGCGCTTAGAGTGGTGACAGCTTTTGGTGACAGCACGGGGTTTAGAGCCATTGTGGACTGTTTTGTGGGTGCAGCGAGCAGCCTTCTCTAGCTGGTCCTCAGTCCTTTCACAGGGAGGCCTCTCTGAGGCTGCCCCACAGGGACGGGCACTCAGGGAGGGCCAGGGACTCTGCTCCAAATTATCTGAGCCCAGAAAGAGTCTGCTTAGTATTTTGTCATTAGTGTTGATTTTCTGATTGGCATTTATTCAGATAAATATTCTTACTGGAACATATTGGATTCTTTTGACTCTCTTTCTGCCCTGCTGGGTTACAGACTGTTCCTAGACATGCCAGGAAGCAGTACCTAGGACAGGTCATTGAGCTGGAGGTAACTGAGTTAGAGGGATGAGCAGCTGGGGCTCGGAAGAACAAGAGTGGGTCTCACGTTCCAAAGAGGGCCATTTGCCCCGTAGTTTAAGTGTCCCCCGGCACCTAGAAGCTGCTCACTGTGTGCTTGTGGAATGGACAGTAGGTATGTGCATTATAACTCTGTCACTTTGTTTTTCAAATAAGGGGGTAGGGAACCTGTATTCAGAATTTTTATTCTGTCTTTGCCCCAGCAGGATCCTGGACTTGAACTAGGACCTCTGGAAATATGCTGTAGAGTTAAACTGAATAGAGTGACTCCATTATTATCTGCAATCCATCTGTACGATATCCCCAGGATCCTGCTTCCGTCCTGACTACTTTATGCCCAGAGAAGACTCAAAAGAAAATGACAAGGCCTTAGCAATTGAACTTCATCTCTAAGTTTATTTTTACCATCAGTTTTCTCATCAGGGAAGGGAAGGATGGGGACTCCATGACTCCTTTCTGGACTCCTGTCTTGGCCTCTATGCAGTGCTCAGGGTCAGAGCCAGGACCTGTCTAGGGACCGGTTCTCTGCTGTGGATTCACTGTTTCATTGGAAAAGGCATGGGGCCCCTCCCAGCCCCTACATCTGTCAGGTTTGAATTTGCTGAGAACGCACCTTGGGGTCAAGGGCGGTAAAAAGGCGTCAGCTTGATTCAGGGAGTCCTGGGCTGAATCCCTGAGTGTGACGTGATGCAAAACTTGGGCAAGTTATTAACCTCTCCAAACCTTGCTTTTGTCACCCCTAAAATGGGGATGAAAATAATTATACCAACCACGTGGGTCATGATCAGGATTAAAAGATAGAATGTTGGTGATACACTTGCTCATTGATTGATGTTACTGTTATAATTTCACGATTCTGTTATCCACACGACGGAGATTATGTAGCCTTCTTTAGCCTCGTCAAGATGAGGCTTCCTTGCCCTTTACGTATTTGCTTGTCTGTCTGTCGTAAATAGTCCCCTTTGCTCCCTAGATTCGGTGCTTTGAACAGTGACAGTGTCACTAATTGGTATGGCATCTATTTTTATCCACCATTCTTAGGTTTTCATCCCCAGTCCTATTACTGTGCTGCAGAAGATAGCTTGGATAAATGGGAGATGGGTCTCTCTCTCTCTCTCTCATATTCTTCATTCTTGGGGAAGAATATACTATTTTTCCCAACAGCTGAATCCAGGCAGACTTTCTGAATCAGCAAGCACAAACAGATATTTTCAGAGGAACTCATCTTTGAGTCTGATTTCTTTGGGAACCCAGCTCATAGGGAACCAACAGATTGATCCTCATTCCTGAAATATCTCCTCTCCCACGGCTGCCTCCCCAAGGAGCCTGGGGACATTTGGTGCCCTGTGTTTTAGGCCAAGAGAGGTCTTGGCTTAGCAGAGACTTCATGCTTTGAAGGATTCAAAAGAGACAGGAGATGTGGTTCCCTGCCCCCAAAACAAACAATTTGGCCAGGGAGATAAGACTTGCAAAAATCAAATAAGTAGAGAAAGATGTATTTAAAAGGCATGTGACAAATCAGCCTCTTGGTCCTAGTTTTAAAGATGGTAAATAATGAGTGTCCAGGAGCAGCATTATAGAGGTGATAAGAGCTGAGGGGGCATTGAAGCAAGGCGAGATTAGACGTGATGAACAAGGGGGCTTCAGGGCCCCGGAATAGTCAGGGTGTGGGCCTGGAGGGAGACAGAGCATGGGGATGCCTGGGGGGACCCAGAGGGAGGAGGGAAGAGGAAAAAGCCCTCCTGCCGTGCCGGGGAGCCTGGAGATCCACGGGTGTCATGAACTGGGAGACTCAGAGCTTTGGTTTGAGCGGATGTAGCAGGGACCGTGTGGGCCTGGAGCCAGGGTGGGACATCCCCAAGGTGTGGGGTCGGCAGGGCGTTCTGGAGCAGTGGTGGGGGCCTGAGGCGGCCGGGGAGCTGGGGCCGGGGTGGCCCTCTGGTGTGAAGGTCTCCGAAGCTGGAGAATCTTTTCTGTCCTGGATTAACTGTTCAATTGGCAAGGGCATGCAGCCCCGCTTTGGGGAGAGGAGGTCAGGGTTTAATTGTAGAATGTTGTTGGAGGTCACTGGCTGTAGATTTTGAGTCCTTTGTGTTTAGGAACAGTCATCCTTAACATGTATATTAGTTCTTTGTGGCTGCTGTAACAAATGACCACAAATATGGTGGCTTAAAATAAGAGAAATTTCTTCTCCCATTGTCTGGAGGCCAGAGGTCTGAAGTCGAGGTGTTGGCAGAGCTGAGCTCCCTCGGGTGGCCCTGGGGGAGAATCTGTTCTTTGCCTTTTCCAGCTTCTGCTGGTGGCCGGCTTCCTTGGCTTGTGGCCGCATCACTCTGATCTCTGTCTCGTGTGCATGTGTGTGTGTGTGTGTGTGTGTGTGTGTGTTCTTCTGCTTTTCATAAGGACACTTGTCATTGGATTTAGGGCCAACCTAGGTAATCTAGGACAATCTCATCTCAAGACCCATGACACAACTACAACTGCAAAGGCTCTTTCCAAATAAGGTCCCAGTCGCAGGTCCCAGGAATGAGGGTGCAGACAGGTCTTTGGGGACCACCATTCAGCACCCTGCAGCGTGTTCTCCAAGGAGGGACCACAAAGGAAGGAGATGTTGCCTCAGGTGGATCTTTGGAGGAATGGCACTGCCCGCTTCCCACGTGGCCTGTCACGTGACCACTGTCACCTGTGAAACTCACCCTGAGTGCACACCACGTGCAAGCATGGCTCTCGGCGCTTGTGCCGATGTGATCATTGCAACAATGTATGATATTTCCCTTCAGCCTCATAGCCAGGGAATGAGAAAGGCCTTGCCCTCCCTGGCTTACAGATAAGGACACCTTATCTGGGGGAGCTAAGGTGCCTGTGGACCGAAGGGTCCCCCAGATGCAGGGGAGCTGCTCAGAGCCCCCTGCATTGGTCTGTCCTGGGGGACCTGGTTTCATCCCCAGCTCCCACTGCCTCTAACACAAACCAGGGTCCTGGGCGGAGTCTGGATGTGCCTATGTAAGTCTGAGCTACGGCTGCAGGTTCTTTACTCTCATTCAGGAAAGCTGACGAGGGTCACCGGCCAGGTAAAGCAACAGGGCATGGAGGTCAGGTTCACAATTTCAGAGCCAGACTGCCTGTGCTTGAGCCCGGCTGTGCCTCTTCCCTGCTGTGTGACCCTGCGCAAGTCACTTGGGCTCTCTGTGCCTCACTTCCCACATCTATAAAATGGGGACCGCAATTGTGCTCGCCTCTTGGGGATTTTTTTAATGGGGACTAAATGCATCTGTGTGTGAGAGAGAGAGAGAGAGATAATGGCTCTCAGCACTCAGTAAGTGCTCTGTGCTGTTTACTTAAAAACAAAACCACAAAAGAGCAGCGAAGAACGCGTGTTTGGCTCCCATGGCGCCTCCTCTGTGACTCAGTGGGGCCAGGCGCTGTGATTTGGGCTCCTCAGGAAGGCAGAGCCCTGGGAAACATCCAGGCAGAGAGACGCCAGGCCTGCTGAGCATCACTGTGGAACAGGATCTCTCTCGAAGGCTGGTCCCGCCCGGGTCCTAGCCAAGAACGCTGGCTCATTAAAAACACCCAAAGGAAAGGAGGCTGGGCTCTGAAGGCAGCCCCTCCACGTGGGCCGACAGCCATCCTGCCAGGGGCTCCAGGCCCCTACACACCCAGCTCCCATGGTGGGCACCCTAACGGGAGGGCTGTGGCCGCAACCCTGGCCCTTCCCCGCAGCCCTGGGCTGGAATGGACCGCGAGATCGTGCGAGATCGAGACACACTCACAGCTGCTCTTCCTTCTCACAGGCCGATGCTGCTACCAGCTTTCTGAGAGCAGCAAGATCAGGTAACTTGGACAAAGCGCTGGACCACCTGCGGAATGGGGTAGACATTAACACCTGTAACCAGGTAAGTGGGAGGCGGACGGGCACACGGTCTCTGAAGAGCGGCTCTTGCTTGATGTCACTTCTGAAAGCTTTCATCTGCCTCTATTAACCTTTCCCAGTGACCACAAAAATCCCCCAGGGCTTCCACCTGCTAAAGGCACGACCCTAGTGTTTGTAGCCCAGGGCCCAATGGAGAAGGGCTGGTGCCTGAGGAGCATGGGCCACGCCTGGCTCCATCCCCTGCGGCCTCTCCCCTTAGAAGTCGAGCTGGTCCCTGCTGTGGTCTCAGAATGTGTGGCCTTTGAGAGTGGGCGGGAGGAAGGGCCTTTGAAGGAGGCTGTGTCAGCGGTGACATTCATCTCCTTTGTCCACCAGCGGCCTTTGTGGGTTTGCCGCTGGGCTGAGAAGGAAATAGCGCCGAGGATGCTCTGTCGGGTGCTGACGGAGGCTGAGAACAGCGCGGCCGAAACGGCCTCTGGATGTTTTTGGTTCTAAGTGACAGGGCTTGGTTTGGGGAGAGGGTGGGGAGGAAGCTGAATGTGTGCAGGACAGAGTGGAGGACAGAGAGTCGGGTTCAGGGCCCAGGATGGAGGAGCTGACTGAACAGGGAGGAACTCACTCCCCAGAAAGAGGATGGGGTCGGGCTGGGGCTGGGATGGAATGACTTGTTTTGTTTGTTTGTTTTGGCCCGTCAGTTAAATTGTTCAGGTACCCAGCTGATTCCGTTTCCAATTTAGAATACATTCCCCAATTGTGCCTTTTGACAAAACCATTTTAACCCTTGAAAAATGGTTTTTAATTGGGGTGAAAAGCACGTAATATAGCATTAACCATCTTAAGCATTTTTAGAAATAGATTTGTATTGAAGCGTAGTCAATTTACAACCTTGTGTCAGTTTCTCCATCTAAAGCATTTGTAAGTGTACAGTTCAGTGTGTATCACCACCATCCATGCCCGGAACTCTTTTCATCTTGTAGAACTGAAACTCTATACCCGTTAAACCGTAACTCCCCGTTCCTGCCTCCCCCAGCCGCTGGCCGCCACCCTTCGACTTTCTGTCTCTAGGAATCTGACAGCTCCAGGTACTTCAAATCAGTGGGCTCATACAGCATTTGTCTTAGTTTGCGCAGGACGACATCCTCACCATCCAGCCACGTTGCACTGGACTGGAAGACTTTTACAAGCCAGCAGGGGAAATACCTGCAATGCAGTTTAGTGTCCCCTAGCCCCTTGGCCTCTTTTCCCTGCCCCTCCACTCTGCTTAAGATGCACAGAATCACTTGCCAAGACCCCCTTTTGGATTCAGTTGGTCTTTTGTGTAAATCCACAGCTGAAAGATCAGAGAGGATGAAGCGGAGAGGTGTGTGATGGGAAACAGAAGTAGGTGTGTGATACCCGCAGACGCCATGGCAGTGAACTTCGGTGGGGAGACAAGCGTGTGGATGGACCTGGGGATGCAAACGAGATGAGGAGGAGCAATCCCCCTCCCTTTTTTCACCCCCCCAAATATTCCAGTGCGCATGCGTCCACAGACCTAAGGATGTTCACGGTGAGGCTAAGGAAACACACAGAGGTAGAGGTCGCCTTTGGAGAGATTGAGACTCTGAATCCACTTCTTTCCTGGGAAGAGACAGTAGGAGCAAAGTCTGAGGGTCAAGTGAGGGTTCAGAGGGCTGGGGAGAGGGGCTCGGTGTGAACGACATGCCTAGGAACAGCTGTGTGAGCTGTCCTGTTGTCCCCGGCCCCCCGGAGGGCACCTGCTGATGCAGTCCTGGGCGGGAGGGATGCGAGCCCGGCTTCCTCTGTTCAGGCCGTGGCATCAGAGGCACAGCTGAGCATCTCTCTGCTGTGCAGCTCCCACTTGAGAAAAACCAGCCTCTCCGAGGCCTTCCCAGGGTCAAGATGCCAGCTCTCAAGTCCATTTAGCAGAAATGGGGGCTACTGCACGATCTTAAGCCCTGAGCTAGAGCTGGTCTCCTGTGTGAAACTGGAAGATTCCGAGGACACTGGGACTGGCTCTAATTGGCCTGCTGGTGGTGAGGCCCTGCGTACAACTAGCCTGCCCCTCTGCCGTCCCTCCCAGGGCACCGCCTCCGTTCATCCTGGGGTCCACAAGCACCAAGGTGGTATTTGCGCTCCACTGACACCGTTTCCAATGGGCTTAATGCCAGAGGAAACCACTCACTGCTGCAGGCGAGGAGGTAACTTCAAGAGGAGGAAAGGATCACACGGTGCAAAGCCCCTCCTGCTGGTTCGGTGCCAAGGCTCCTTCCCCAGCTCCTGCCCCAGATCAGGGCCCTGCTGGTCTCTATCCTGTGCTGTGTGCCTGCTGTGGGGCCAGAGCTGCGGACACCGCCCCAGGACTCCCTGCATCACCGGGGGCCTCCTTCTGGTTTTACGAGGCAGTGAGGCGGTTCGGCTTTGGCCCTGGGTGGAGAGTACTGGGGGAGGACTCCAGGGGGTGGGCAAGCTTACCCTCAGTTAACCCGAGCACCGCAGGATGATGCCCTTGCTCTGTGATGCGCACAGCCGTCTTCCTTCCTGGATGAGAACTGTTTCTCTTTAAAACACGCGCTCATTGTTTTAAGAAGCTAAAAACAGGCTCTTGTCCTGGGGTCATGGCTTGAGAATTTGCTTTGGAGCCAGTGGACTGTGATAGCAGTAAAACAGCAAATGCTGCTCCTTATGTAAGTAACACACTTTCAGATAGTATGTTTTGAGGCAAGAATTGGAGCCGTTTGCCATCATAGGAAGTAATTACTCTAAGTGGTGGGAGAAGAGGCTTATATAAGCGACATCTGAATAATCAGGGCAGCTTCCTTATTGCATAGACGTGTGTGCTGATTTCGATCATCATTATTACATTTAGAGAATCTTTAAGAACAAATCCACACGTAAGGACACACAAAGACACATGCAAATGCCAGTATCTCTAGGTGGACGCCCGCTTTTTAAATTTATGCTAGCATTTTTCAAGCTTCAGGCTCGTGTAGCTGATGTCTTCGTGTACACCTCCTCGAGGCGTAGAGCTGCGCTTTAGGGATGTAATAGTTAAAAAAGAAAGTCGTCGTCCTCATCCTCTGTGAACTGTAGTCTACGGACTGCGAGAACAAGTAGTCAAATAATCATACAGATGGTGGGGGTAGGGTATAGCTCAAGCGGTAGCGCACAGCTTAGCATGCACGAGGTCCTGGGTTCAATCCTCAGTCCCTCCTCTAAAAATAAATAAATAAACCTAATTACTTAGCCCCCACCCCCCGCCAAAAAAAAAAATCACACAAAGACATGCAGAGTAGACGGCACACAGTTTTATGAGAAAATAAAAGAGGGACGTGACATAGGGTTAGAGGTCAGAGACAGCTACCAAGAGGGAGAGATGCTGAGCTAAGGGATGCGTTGGGGTTTAATGAGGTTGGGGTTGGGGTTGGGGTTGGGGTTGGGGTATGGAGGGAACATTCTGGAAGTACAGAACAGTCTGTGTCAGGTCCCCGAGGCAGAGAAAAGCCCTGAGAGTTTAGGGGAGGCCAGAGTGGCTGCAGGCGGAGGGAAGAGAGACCAGATGAGGCCAGAGAGGTGACCTTGGGGCTGTGCTGGACCTTAGAGGCAGGGACGATGGTCACAAGTGGGTCATCCCGCCCCAGGGCTGCGCGATGTGCGCACGCATGTGCGCATGTGCGCGCCAGCGTGTGATTCCGGCTGCGCAGGCGTTAACCCCGCGGTTGCCGATGGGGGAGAAGGGTCTGGGGGAGGGTCCAGGGAGGCAGGGGTTGGGGGTACTGACCCCGAGGAACGGAGGTATCTCAGCATTTGACAACCTGCCCAGCTGTATCAGCGCGTCCTGGGAGAGCATCCACCCTGCTTGCAGAGGCCGTGTTAAGGATTCTGATCTTTAAACTGAGCCGAGAGGAGCTGACCACAGCATCAAGCACCGGAGTGATGTGGCCACAGGTGTGCTTTAAAGGGCCACACTGCCCAGTGTGGACAGGACAGGTGGAAGGGCCGGTTATGAGATGCTGGCCATAGTCCAGGAGAGACACTTGGTCGCTTGGATAAAGGTCGTGGCTGTGGAGATGGTTGGGGGTGGGGGGGTGCGGCAGGAAAGGGGACTTCAGGAAGGACCTCAGATGCCTGGCTTGTGCAGGGGCGGAGGGCGGCACCAGTCGCCGGGACATGACCTGGGAGGGGGCGTGGTCAGTATGTGAGGAGGCCGGAGCAGAGCTGTGTGTCCGAGGAATCCAGTGAAGGTATATAGTAAGCAATCGGATATTTGAGCCTGGAACTCAGATAAGAGGTCCAATCCAAAGACAGATATTTGGAAGTCATTCAGCACTCGAGGAAGGCAAATGCTAGCTGATGAGAACAGGGCCGAGAGGCGTGTTGAATCTAATCCCTGGGTGTCTTCACAGGGGCCATTCCACACATTATGAAACACCTTGCCTGTGCCAGGTGCTATTCTAGGCCCTGAGCAAGGCACACAAAAGAGACAAAGTCTGTGCCCTCGTGACACTGATAGCTGGTGAAGAAGACAGACAATGAGCAAGAAGATGAGCAAATGTATAATGCCAGCTAATGAGACATCTCATGGAGGAGAGAGGGAAAGGAGCCTGCTTTAGAGGGTAGTTCAGGAAGGCCTCTCTAAGGGGATGACTTAGAAAGAAGTAAGGGAGAATCATGTGGTTTCTGGAGATGAGCATTCCTGGAGGAGGGGGATGTGCAAAGGCCCTGGGGCTGTACCGGGCTTGGTTTGTTTGGGGAAGAGCAAGAGGAACAGCATAGCTGCAGTGGAAGGATGGACCAGAGGAGTGGTAGGCAGGGAGGTGGGAGAGATTGCTGGGGCCATATCTTGATGGGCTTTCAGGCCATGGCAAGGACCTGGATTTTGCTCCAGGGGTGATGGGAAGCCATTGGAAGGTACTCAATCTAAGTTAGTTTTTTAAGTGATCACTCTGCCTGCTGTATGGAGAATTGGTTTGGGGCACAGGGACAGGAGCAGGAAGACTGGTGAGGAGGATGAGGCAGTGG